GCCCGCCGCTTGGAGCCAGCGACACTGGCCAGGTACCTGAGTCCAGTCGTCCCCCACGACTCTAAAAATAAAACCATCCCCAGGGGAAAAAAAAAAAAAAAAAAAGCCTTCCTACGTAAGGGGACCCACGCCCGGCAATGGCCTGCGGTTCTGAAACACTCTGGGTATTTAACAACAAAGAAAAGGCGGGCGGTGTGGACGCTTAGGGGGGAAATCCTGAGGCTTTGCAAAAACAACAGGTTAATCTGGTCTGGGAGATGATCCACCGAAACTGGACGGGCAGAAAGGATACCCTTTGATACTTCAGCGCCTACTCCGATAAACAGAAAAGTACACACGTCGGGTCCCCCAGGACTCGTGAGTGCTCGTCTGCACCCGGGAATTCGGTTACCCTGTTGGATAAGCGAGACAAGTGATGGGGTAGCGGTAGCGGAGGACTTCTCTACCCATTCTAAAGGAGACCGCTGGGCACCGGCGAACCTCAGGAATGAGTTACAGCCCTCTTTTAAAATCTGTCACTGCGTTACATTCTAAGATCAAATTAGTTGCGATGTCTTTTCAGTTCATGTTTTTCACTCCCAGGGTTTTCTTAACAGGGAACCCCAAGCACACTGAAGTCTGGAAAAGCTGGGAGGGCCAGAGTTGGAGGGGCCTGGCTCCTCTCCCTGTGCTTGGGTGGTCTGGTACTCCAGAGACGGCTCTACAGCTGCCGAGCCTGTCCACTCGCCCTTCCCAGTGGAGCCCAGGCTCAGTTATCCAGCCAGGAGATAGAAAACACTGAAGGTTGATCGAGTCCCACAGGGGACAGTTTGGACAAAGGATTCCGTTTGCAAAACAAAACTAAAAACCCTAGCAACCTGTTTTCTAGAGCACCCTCTTCATCTGCTCTTCCCCAAACCGTGGGTCCTTTCCTCTCCTGAGAGCTTATTGTCATTTTCCTTTCTCCTCATTCATTACTCTTCCTCACATGTCCCCTTTATTACCAAACAAACAAACAAACAAAAAACTTGCCAAGTCCTACCACCATCGTGTATATAAAAAAACAGCCCCTGTGTAACTCTCACCATTTTGAAGAAAGTCGAGAAGGGGGAAGCAAAGTTTAAAAGTGAACACCATTCCGAGAAATGAATGGAACATGTGGGGGAGGGGAAGGGGACTTGTCCAAGTATCACAAATTATTTTTCCTTTTTATATTTTTCAACAGTTTATCTACTTGGATGTCCTCCAGAGACAGCAACCAGCAGAAGCCCGGCAGTGTGGGAGGAGACACAACACAGGAGAAGAATTACCAGGTGTGGGTTCCTCCCCGCAGTGGCCAGCAGGACTTGCAGGTACCTGCTGCCTGGAGGACTCGGTCTCTTTTACATTTGAGTACTTAACACACTTCTGTCCCTAACATCAACTTGATTTTTTTCTTTTTCTTTTCTTTTTTTTTTTTTTTAAGATTGCATGACTCACACATGCAAGTATGCCTAGCGTGTTTTTCAAGCCACCAAGTCCAGGACTTGAACCGTGTAGTCATCCATGTGGGACCCGGCCACTCTAACCACCACACAACCTAGCTGGCCCCACCTTACTTAATTTTAACAACAACTAAGCTTCAGGGAGAAAAGGGACATTCAGCTACCTCTTCTTTGGGGGCTGTGTGCCTGCAAGTCACTTCTTTTCCTTCCCCTCAAACAATTGTCTCCTCTGCTTGCTCTTGTTCCTTCTCGTTTTCTCAAAGGGTGTCCCCAGCAGTGACATGACGTGGGCTGCTTTTCCTCTCCGCTCTCCTCCTACCAGTGTCAGCCAGGCACCTTGTATCAGCCACCCGTGAGCACAGCCCTTATGCAGTGCTCCAGTCCCCTTACACAGTGGCACTCTGGACATGATCACATCACTGTCATCCTCCTAATGTATAGTTTATGGATACTTAATTACCAGACAATAGCTCAAACTAAAATGCATGGTCTCGGTTTAATCCTTTCAGGGAGATAATCAGCCTATAGACACGGAACTGAGACTTCAAGAGTCTAAATAAACAAGGTGCCCAAGATCACACCGTGCCATGCAAAGCACAGATGGAACGCAAGTCTTCCTCTTTTCTTTTCTTTTTTAAGTTGATTTATCTAGAGAGAGAGAGACAGAGACCCTTGACGAGGTCTTACCATAGCAGACCCTTCCCTCAGCCTTCTAGCCCACCGGAATCATGGGTGTGCCTGGCATGTTCACGCTGACCTGGGATCCAAACCCTATGGCTCCAGGACTGTGCAGTGGCACTCTCCTTCCTGTGCCACCACAGCCGGGCTTTAGTCTCTCTCTCTCTCTTTTTTTTTTTGAGAGGTTTTTGCTATAGGGTGAGTGCACTCATAAGGAAGACACGGAGAGACAGAAAGCGAGAAATCATCCTCCAAGGGGGATGGCCACACCACAATCCCTTCTCCTCCATTCTCCTCTTGGGATCTTGGGCATGCACACACACATACGCACACATGTCCAGCGTGAGTTTAAGCCACTGGGCCCGGGACTCGAACCACAGTCGACTACATGGGAGTCCAACAACATAGCCATTACGCTAACTGCTGGCCCCAACTCTTTTCTTTTTAAAATATTTTTATTTAACTTTATTTATTTCTTTACTTATTTACTTATTTTAATGTGCCCAGAAGGGGACAGGGTGAGAGAGCAAGAGCAAGAGAGAGAGGAGAACTGAGAAAGCAGACCGCCGGTCTGGGACTTGAACCGTGGTCGGCCATGTGGGAGTCCAGTGCCCTTAACTCCATGAGTGAGAGAGAGAGAGAGAGAGAGAGAGGGAAAGTGAGAAAGCAAGCCACCAGGTCCAGGACTCAAACCGTGGTTGGCCATGTGGGAGTTCAGTGCCCTTAACCACCATGCCCCCTGCAGGCCCCAATAAAAAGTTTTTACAAACAAGTCACTGGTACTCAGCAGAAGGCACCTTTAATCACCTTGAGTATCATCAGCACATTTACCCTAGAGCTGCCCATTATTGCCACCTCCAACCCTACCAATGCACCACCTTCTTAGAGAACCGAGGACACCGGTAGCCTTTGGAAGGAGCCACTGTGCTTACTGCATGGCCTCATCCTCTCTGATCCAAGGTGAATGAAATTTATCACCTGGAAACTTGGGAGCCAGACAGAGGAAACTGAGTCAGGTGATAGAAGCATTTGACCTAATAATTTACATGCATTTGGAAGAAAGAATTTCTGGACATATGTAGGATGATATGCCACGAAAACTGGTCTGCAGAAACTAGAGCCAACACAGAGGAAAACAAACAAACCCATGAGAGACAGAGGGAGATGATGATTCTCAGCTCTGGTACCCACATGTCCCAGCTGTCTCTGGGTGCCCATGAGATTATTTGTGTGGTCTTACTATTAAAAACCCTTATTTACTTAAGCTAACATGAATAGAGTTTTCTTCCTAAACCAAAAGTGCTCTGCTTAAAGTTACAAAATTCTTCCCTGGAAAAGAGCTATCTGTTCTTTTCATATATTATCTCATTTAGTCTTTTTTCCCCCGAAAGGGTACATGTGCTCACCTGAGACAGAGAGAGAAAAAGAGAAATCACCAGCTAGAAGGAATGAACACACCACAATCCCTTCTGCCCCATTTTCTTCTTGGGATTTTTGGGCATGTATGCACACACATTCCACACGTTTCTCAAGCCACTGAGCTCAGGACTCAAACAAGAGTTGGCCATGTAGGCTTTAGCACCTTAATCACTATGCCACCTCCTGGCCACCATTTAGTCCTTATAACAACCCTACACAGTAAATACCATTATTATTCTCTTTCATAGATGAGAAATGAGCAGCCCAGAGAGGTTAAATAACTTGCCCAAATCACACACTTGATGAGTTGTAGTGCTGGGGCTGGGACCCACGCAGCCTGACTCCAGAGCCTGAGACGTTAACAGCTATGCTGCATGGCAGAGCAAGGGAGATGCTGACGACGCCAGTGTGCATTGTGTGCTGTCTTAATGGATTCAAGGCATCAGATTTGCTAAGTGAGTTCAAATGTAGAAATGATACCAAAGACTGGCTGTCTGGAGAAGCTGGTAAGCATTTATTTGTTTCGCAAGGGGATTACAGTTTCCATTGTAGATGTTAGAGAATATAAAACACAGAGTGTGACCCATCATATTAAATAAGACTGTGTTCTTTACCAGAAAATTATCAGCAAAATGCTCCTTAGTGGGTCACTACTGATTTCTTCTGTTAGCCCCAAATGTTTAAAATCCAGAAGGTTTGACTCCTATGGAAGGAGAAATTAACGACTGAAGTGAAACTTTAAGTCTTGGAGAGGGAGGCAGCACGGTCACTCTCTATGCTGATAGCTGCCAAACCCACAGTCACTCAGCCAAGCTTCTAGATCAATCACAAACCAGCCATTGGTGACCCCCAGCAACCTTCAAAAGGCATGATTCAGGAATTGTCAGTAAGTTTAAGTCAGATAAGAACTTGTTTTATCTGCTTTGATTTTAGAAGAAAGTGCTGACAGCCACTCTTTAAGATCTTTTCTATATATAAATGATTAAGCAATTTGTGGCTTATAATTAGAACAATGCATGACAATTTCTAGATTAGGGTTCCAAGGTTACTCATCTCTTTGGTCTATCAATGCCAAAAGACAAAAGGTCATCTCCTAAGGCTCCAGATAGCACTCATTACTCTGCTAAATGGCCAGTCTGCAAGTCTTGGCTTAAAAATTATCTATTTAAAGTGGCTGTTTTTCATCTGGCAAAGATGAGACAGTTTAGGTGGTTTGCAGATAATCCATGGCAAGAACACTTAGTTAATATCAACTCCAAGACAAAGCATATTTTATCATCAGAAAAGTATTTAACTTATTATCTCATGTCATAACATTGTTTACATGTGGCTATGAAAAATTAATTTTGTGGGGCCAGCAGGTGGTGTGGTGATAAGGCACTGGATCCCACATGGTCAACTATGGTTCGAGTCTTGGACCCATGGCTTGAAAAATCACACTGGGTATGTGTGCGTATGCATCCAAAATCCCAAGAAAAGAATGGAGAAGGGATTGCAGCTTGGCCACACCCCTGGGGGTGATTTCTCGCTCTCTCTCTGTCTCTTTCCAGCAACCATGCACGTGCCTTATGGCAAAAACAAACAAAATTTGAACTAGTTTCACCTTGGGAAGCTTAGCCTGATTTAAACTTGTTATCTATTGATAAGTCATGATGCATTGAAAAAATACATCATGACTTTTCTGATGACCCAAAATATAAGACTTCTAACCTATTAAGATTTAAATTAGTGGAGCTGGCAGGTGGTTTATAAGACTTCTAACTTATTAAGATTTAAATTAGGGAACCAGCAGTTAGCGTAATGGCTATGTCGCTGGACTCCCCCGTAGTCGACCGCGGTTCGCGTCCTGGACCCGGTGGCTTAAAACTCACGCTGGGCGCTTGTGCGTGCGTGCCCAAGATCCCGAGAGAATAATGGAGGAGGAAGGATTACAGGATGGCCATCCCACCGGGGGTGCGGGGGGGGGGGGTGATTTCTCACTTTCTGTCTCTATGTCTCTGTCTGTCTGTCTGTCTGGTGAGCGCACGCGCCCTACAGTGAAAATCTCTCAAAAAAAAAAAAAAAAAAGATTTAAATTAGTGGAGCTGGCAGGTGGTTAAGGCACTGGATTCCCGCATGGCTGACTATGGATCGAGTCCCATGACTTGCAGCTTGAAAATCACATAAGGCAAGTGTGCAAGAGTGCCCAAAGTCCTGAGAGAATAATGGAGGAGGAAGGATTACAGGATGGCCATCCCACCGGGGGTGCGGGGGGTGATTTCTCACTTTCCCTCTCACTGTCTCTGTCTCTCTCTCATGCAAGCACACAAGCCCTATGGCTAAAATAAACAAACAAAAGATTCACATTAGCTATGACCAACAGTGGATATCAAAACATCATAAAACTTTTTTCTTTTGCAGTTTCCCAGAGGATGTGTGTTCTTGCCAGAGAAAGAGAGGGAGAAAGCACCCTCCCATGGAATGTGGTCATGATGCAATCCCATTTCTCCATCCCATCGGGATTTGGTGCAAAAATGCACATGCATGCAACCTTTCTCAAATTGCTGGGTCCAGGACTCAGGCTGCTCAGTCAGACAAGTGAGAACCAGCACCCTTAGCCATCAGGCCATGGGGCTGGCCCAACCATCAACATTTTCTAAACTTGCTCCTGGAAGTTCTATCTAATAAGACAAATGTTCCCTAAGGCAAACATAACGACACCTAACACTCAGTGTAAGTTATGCCAGTGAGTAGCAAAAATGTGCTCAGTAGACACAACACGCCACAACATGGCCCGCTGAAGAAAGCCTAACACAAGCTATAACAGAGGAAGGTAAACCTAGGCAGAGCAGTAATGGCAGAGTTCCAGTGTCACATTCGTGAGCAGCTCCATGACTCCAAGATTGTCCTTCCACCAGAAACATTATCTATAGATTCAAAAAATCAGCTGCTCACTACTTTCACTTGAAAATGCCTTATGGGGGGAAAAAATGAATGCCTTGAATAAAAGAAGGCATTCCAATAAAAAAAAATGGCAAAATGTCATTAGAGGTTCTTAAAGAACACCAATTAACTTCTTGGTTAACCAATTGTAATATCAAACTTTAAACGCACAATTTCCAAAAGTAATCACATGAAATACATTTAAAATACATATAACTTCTTACTAACATTTGGAGTTTATATATGGGGGAAAAAGTGTAATTTCTACCAACCAGAGTTTCAAAAGAAAAATGTGTAGGTTTTAAACCAGTTCGTGGGTACAAGGAGTGGTGTGATGGTTAAGGCAGCTGGATCCCATAGGGCTGACTGCACAGTTCAAGTCTGAGACCCAGCACTTCGAAAGACATGCTGGGCATGTGTACATGCACGCTGACAATCCCAAGAGGAAAAATGGAGGAGAAGGGATTGCTATGTGACTGTCCCTCATGGAGGGTGGGACGCTTCCTCACTTTGCCTCTTTCTGTCTCTCCCCAGTGAGTTGCATGCAGCATTTGCCAAATTAACATTTTAAATAAGAATAAAATAACATGGAAATTACAACAAGATTTTACTGAAGAGAAGGCTTTTCTCTATTTTCTTTAATGTCACTCAAAATTAATTCTCAACCTAAATGATTCTGGTAGGATCCAAGTCAATCCCAGAACAAAATTAGCCTTGTCAAAACTATGCCACAGGTCAGAAATGAACCAAATGAAACCAAATGAACTAAATGGAACCAAATGAAAATGTGACCCCATTTCTACCAGTTCATCAATTTTCAGAGCCAAAAGCTATCCAAAATTCATATCTAATGGGTAGAATGTCACATTTCAACCTCACAGAAGAAGAGACACAAATGCATTATTACATCAGGTAGTTAACTAAGAAAAGTGTACCTTTAAAGGGAAGAGGCGATAATGTAGAAAAAGGATACTTGCCATAAATGATGCAAATATATTAACTATATATTAACTACATGTGAAATATATTAAGTAAATAGAAAAACACTTTAAAAGTTCAGATACCACAATGCATTTGTATTGCTTTTCTGAACATTTAACTGTGCTGCAATGATGCTGTCTTTTTCATTTCACACATAATTAACTTTTAAAAAATCTAAGTATTAATTGGGGCATAGATTAATACAAAAAGAAAAAAATCTCAAAAATGCATTAAATATTTGCCAACTCTGTGATTTCCTTGCAGATTATGAGCATAATTTTAGAAAACTTCTATTTCCAGGGCCAGCAGGTAGCATGGTGGTTAAAGTGCTGGAGTTCCCACATGACCAACTGTGGTTCGAGTCCCAGACCTAAAGGCTTGCTTTCTTTCTCTCTCTCTCTCTCTCTCTCTCTCTGGCAAAACTCATGAGAAAAAGTAGTAATAAATAATTCTTGAAAATAACAAAAAGGGGGACCAGCATGTGGCATGGTGGATAAGGTGCTGGATACTCTCACATGGCTGACCGGTTTGAGTCCCAGACCTGGTGGTTTGCTTTCTCACTTTCCCTCTCTCTTTCTCTCTCTCTCTCTGGTCAAATTAAAATGGATGAATGAATAAATAAAATTAAAAATAATTCTTTTAAAAAAATAACAAAAAGAAAATGTCTATGTTCCATCTATTTCAGTCTTCTCATTTCACTTTTCACTTACTTTGAATGGACTATTATATGTTCCTATCTGAGTTTCATAGACATCTCCAACATTATTTAAAGTACTCCATGTTCTACTGCAGTGGTTCCCAAATGACAGTTTGTGGACTAGGATTGGATGAAGTTTTTACCAGTCCATTACTAAATGAGAAAAGCAGAGACAAATTAGTGAGTTTTTGTTTTTGTTTAAAATTTTACTATAGGAAACATGTGCTCACTGGAGAGACACACGGAGAGAGGGAAAGTGAGAAAGACCACGCTACAGTCCTTGCTCCTCCGTTCTCCGGGGAGCTGGAGCGTGAACACACATGCCCAGCATGTTTTTCAAACCACCAGGTCTAGAACGCAAACTATATAGTGAGCCATGTGGGATATAGCCACTTCACTACCACCCCAACAGCTGGTCCCAAGTGAGGTTTTTATAAAGTTAAATTTATTCAATTGAAAAAAAATTCCCTTTATTCTGAGATGTCTTCCATTTTTATGTCAAAATGTACTTTTATGAAATGATCGTGGTGGTAGATGGCAGCTTTATATCCCTTAATTGACAAAATTCTGAAAATATTTATTTCAGTACCCTCTCCCCAGTTATTTTTACTTTGCTATTCTATTAAATCTAAAAGTCTGCTAACTATCACTTGGTCTAACTATACCAGTCTGTGGCATGTTAAGGTATGCAGCCTCCTTCTCCCCTCACATGTGCATAACATGCGTGAACACACAGCTGTTTTAAGAGACTCCTGCGGTGGCCAGCCTCAGAAACAGCCCCCGTGATCCCTGCCCTCTGATATTCACACTCTTGTGTAGCTCCTGCACTGTACCAAGGATGGTCTGTGTGACCAACAGGACACAGCAAAATGGATGGCATGCCACTCCCAGCATTAAGTGACAAGT